CCCGTCCCCTCCAGCAACGACCAACTGTCTCCTGGAGCCAGTATGGACGAGGTAGTGGGTAATAGACAGGTAGGCACCTTGTCAACATGCACATCAAGCGCAGCCACACCGGGGATATCAAACAACAGCCAATCACTTGAGAGAGAGAAAGAAAAAGAGAAAAACTCGATTAATGCATAAGGAAACGGTGACATAAACCTTAATTAAATAGCATAAGTAATAAGTTGCTTACAAACACATCCTAGCTAAGTGCACGAGGTCAGGAAGTATAGTTCACGGAATGCCAAGAACACAAAACTGTTATGGAAATCGAAAACAATTGGCTGAAGCGATGTGTGCAAGTTAATAGAATAGAGTACAGTGAGATATTTATATGAGAAAGAAAAGCAGTAAGGTAAAAACTGTAAACCCACCACCTGAAATAAAGAGACTTAGCATGCAAGCACGCGGTTAGTAAATCGAATTCAGCGAGCCTACAAACGCTGCGTCGGCTAGCCTTAATTCTCTGCAGGACCCGTCGTCGCTTCTGTAGTGGCCCCAAAGGACCTAGCTCATGGCCCACTAGACATTTATATGAGAAAGAAAGGAATTAAGAGAGAACTGAAAACCCACCACCTGAAATAAAGAGACTTGGCATGCAAGCATGCGGTTAGTAAATCGAATTCAGCGTGCCTACAAACGCTGCGCCGGTGCTGCCTACGTTCACTGCGGGACCCGTCGTCGCTTCGGCAGTGGTCCCGAGTGACCTCTCCCATGGCTCACTAGGCCTGCCTGACTAAGGCACTCGCGACCGCATGTTCTACAGCACAATGCGCTCAATGTCGATGGATCACAATTCATCGGTGCTTGCCGCTTCCGCAACTGCCGCTTCTTCTCTGCATGCATGAGGGATTTCTCCCGCACCCCAGCAACTGCCTTGGTGATTAGATCGCGCCACGCACGCCGATCAACCGCCTTCGATTCCCATGATCTGCAATCAAGATGAGAACGTGTGAGCCTCACTTTAATCATGCCCTGGTAACGTAACTTTGGTTTCCCCACGTGCCGCTTCCCAATACTCAGCTGACCGTATAAGAGTTGTTTCGGTATTCGCGTCGAATCCATACGGCTCACATGACCGAGCCATCTCAGGTGTCGCAGTAAAAGTATGCAGTCCACTGCATACATCCCACTTCGGCGCAACACTTCCGTGTCTGCAACTCTGGCGCCCCAACCGATCCGCAAAATTCGTCGCAGACACTGCTGATGGAACCGCTCGAGACATCGCACATCCCGACGGTATATCGTCCACGTTTCACTGCCGTATGGAAGAACGGACAGTACCATGGATTTGTACACCATCAGCTTCGTGCCAATGCTAAGCTGATGGTTGTTCCAAACTCGGTACTCAAGCTTCCCGAATATCGCTGCCGCCTTCGACACGCGATTACGCAACTCAACGTGTAGCTGCTGATCAGTCGACATCACACTCCCAAGGTAGCAGAAGCGGGAGGTGGTTTCCAATACTTCAGAACCAATGCTGATTTGCGGCAATATTGAAGATTGCACCTCCGGTGAAGGCTGAAACAGACAGACAGTTTTGCTTGTGTTGATGGTGTGCCCGAATTTGGCCGCTGTCGAAGCCAGAGCACTAGTCATGTTCTGCAACTCATCCGCGTTGTGTGAAAACAACGCACAGTCGTCAGCAAACACCAACATACGGATAGTTGTCTCACAGACTAGAGTTCTCGCACCGAAACGACGGATGTTCAGCAACCCACAATCAATACGGTGCTCCACACGAACACCGTAAGCACAAGCCGCATCAAAAGCACAAGACATCATTGGGTGAACATATATATTAAACAGGGCAGGAGCTAAGACACAGCCTTGCTTCACACCAGAGACAACTGTAAAGTCATCAGAGGTCTCTCCACTCAGCTGCACACTCGCTCGCATACCACTGTGCAGACATTCAATTAAACTCATAAACTTACGCGGGCAACCAAACTTACCCAACACCAGCCACAGTGCCTCGCGGTTCACCGTATCAAATGCCTTGGTGAAATCAACAAAAAGCGAGTACAAAGGCTGGTGTCGTTCTCTGTACTTCTCTTGCAACTGACGAGCCGCAAACACCATATCTATAGTGCTGCGACCCGAACGGAATCCACATTGCTCTTCCGCCACGTTTGGTTCCACAATCTGACTCACGAGACGATTGAGCAGGATTCGGGCAATCATCTTGCCCACACAACTCAGCAAGTTGATGCCACGATAATTCGTGCAACATTGCTTGCTTGCTTTGCCCTTGTACAGTGGTAGCACAAGGGCATCCTTCAGCTCAGCAGGCACCTCCTCCTCAATCCACACGCGTTGCACCAAGTGGTGCAGCGCAGTCAACAACGCAGGTCCACCGTGTTTCAATACTTCAGGTGGGATCCCGTCCCCTCCGGCACATTTGCCGTTTCGCAACTGAGCAAGTGCTCTCTGCGTCTCATCCAGTCTCGGCGTATCCGCCAGATCCGCCTTCACATCATGCTGCTTCAGGCCATTCAATGTAGGCCAGGCGATCTCTGAACGGTTGTTCAAGAGACAGTCAAAGTGTTTCCGCCAGACCTGCATTATGTCTGCAGTCTGGGTGCAGGTAGCGCCTGAACTACCATCGATCAGTGTCCTCAGCGGCTCCAATCTCGGTCCATACACCGCCTTCAAGGAGTCAAAGAATTCCTTGTGTTGACGGCGTTCGGCGTAGCATTCCATCTGCTTCGCCTTCTCAGTCCACCATGCATTTTTTATGCGACGGAGCTCTCGGGTCAGTCGCCGTCGAAGTTTGCGAAACTGACTACTCTTCCCCAAGTCACTGGGGTCTGCAACATGTGCAGCAAATGCTGCATTCTTCTCTGACACCAATGCGTCAATCGTCACATTGTTGTCATCAAACCAATCAGGCCGCTTACAGTTTGCGCGCCCGATATATATATATATATATATATATATATATATATATATATATATATATACACCAAACACATCCATGGCTGGAACAAGATCTTAATGCACTGGAACAGCTATAACGTCGGGCATCTAAGAACATAATTGGAATGTGCAATCTTCCATACCAGGAGAGACTGCTACGATTGGGGTATTCGACGGAAGCTATCGCAGACTACGAGGCGATCTGATTATGGCACACTTGATTCTGCGAGACCCATATCCTGTGTGCCGCCTTTTACTGCGACTCAGTACCAATACAGCCATGAGGGTCCACTCATTGAAACTCGCAGAACAGTCTAGACATCTGGAGTGCCGCAAAATCCTTTTCCATTCGTGTTTGTCACTCATGGAATGCTCGCTCAGAATCGGTCGTCTCTGAACCCACACTAACAGTACTTAAATGACGGTTGGATGACGCACTCATTCACTTACACTTTGTCACTTAGTACTACGTCTCTATCCTACATCTGGAGTTTATCATGGATTTACTCGATGTTAACTGTGGGTGTTGTGATTCTAAGCGGATTGCAGGACTACAGCAGAGCAAACGTTAAGTCCTTATTTCATATTTAAATTACTATAATTATTACTACTACTATTATTATTATTTCGATATCCCTATCAAATATGCAACGGGACTTACAAACCAACGCTAGTTAACCCGTATAAATTCATTGTTCACGGCAGCGTAACGTGGACGACGTATCGGCGGCAATTGAGCTATCTCGAGCGGTTTTGTCATCAATGTCTGCGACGGATTCTTTGCATCTGTTGATGGGACAGAATTGCAAACACGGTGTTGTGGGAGGTGGAATGTATGCAGTGGACTGCACACTTCTGCTGCGACACTTGGAGTGTCTCGGTCATGTGTGGGGTATGGACTCGGCATGGATACCGAAGCAACTGTTATATGTTCAGCTGAGTGTTGGGAAGCGGCATGTGGGGAAACCGAAGCTTCGTTTCTAGGAGATGATCAAAGTAAACATCTCACGTTCTAATGTTGATTGCATGCCATGGGAATCGAAGAGAGTTAATTAGCGTGCGTGGCGCGATCTAATCACGAGACAGTAGCCGAGGTACAAGAGCATGCACCCGTGCGTGCGGAAAAGAAGCGATAGGCACCGATGTAGTCTATTCCATCGACATCGAGCGCATGGTTCTGTAGCACACGCGACCGCGTGTGCCTGAGTCAAGCAGGTCTAGTGAGCCACGAGCGATTCTACACAGGACCAGCATCGAAACGACGACGGGTCCTGCTAAGAAGGTAAGCAGAGCCGGCACAGCGTTTGTAGATACGTTTAATTCAATTTACCAACCACGTGCTGAGTTTCTTGATTTCAAGGGACCGCTTTGCTATTTTTGTTAATACTCACTTTGTTACCGCATTTCAAGATCTATCTGACTAATCTGATATATATATATATATATATATATATATATATATACATATATATATATATATAGTCGGCGGCATCCGGATCCTGATTTGCCTGTCACTTCGGCGGCCACTTGGACAGCCACTGGACGCCTGCGCCTACACAGGGACCACGGGTCGCTTGCGCTGCACCATCCACACAACCTATATCCGGTGTTAACCCGAAGGAACGACACTGGGAGGCATGTGACACTACAATTGTATGTTAGTCTATTCTTAAAAAATTGCCCTGGTCTATATTTCATTATCACGATTCTTCCTCGCAAGTGGCCTAAGCGATAGATGTCAGCTGCGTTTTTAACACAACTGCGATTTCCCACTCCCGTTCTACTTGCTTTCCCCGCATAGGTGACGATGCATTAGTTCTTCGAGCCCCACTGTGGTAAGGAAGACTGTAGCTCATCGTTTTTCGCGAGTTCTGCGCATATAGTACTTGATCATTCAGCTTTGTTCTGAAGCCAACTGACGAAGTTATAAAACTCAAAGCGGCTGTATTTGAAACGATTCATAGGATAATGATGTATTTTTTCAATTTTACTGCTCCGAATGAAAAGAAGCGTCTTGATAATTGTGGCTAAGCTCCATATATTCACTCCATCGGTAGTGAAACTTCTGGTCTGTCGGGTATCTTAGGCCATCTAAAGCGGTCCGCAGCCTCTGAAAGTTTGGATATCACACATTCATCGTCGGTTGCGTTCGACTTCTTGAATTGGGCTAAGAAATTTGGTGTTGGATTAACTAAATAGCCTTTCAGCTGAACTTGCGATGGATCAATGCCAACCATGGAACCGCGTCCTCGAACTCCTTTTTGTATATGAAATGTTGATCTGTAAGTTGTCGGTGGCATACTAGATGCCATTCCAGTTTCTGCATATGTTGGGATCAAATATGCATCCTGATATTCAGACCTTCCAGGGTAATGTAATTGCGCGACTGGTTGTTTTTCCACAGTTTCTGTGTTTTCATATCGGGCTTTGGGTTTAGGCAAATTCGTAGAACAATCATTGGAGTCACCAGGAATAGAATAGTTCTGTGTTCCTACTGCCTCAGCGCGTGTCCAGTTGGTATCAAGATGCCACCTGGGTGCTACTGGTGGACGTACAGTGGTATCTAGCACGGTTTCCAGTGCTTTGATATCATCTGGCTCGCGTTTCTTCATGTACCCCATGTTGCGTCGATACCCACTGTATCGGTCTGTGATATCCATCTCGTCTGTGTACTGTTCCAAACGCTTCTTTGCGGCTGAAACTAATGGCTCCAATTCTTGATTCAAGGCTGACAGCTCCCCCTCTGCCCACGCGTAGGCAGCACGAATAGAGGTATCTGTCCAACCGATGCCTTCTGGCATATGTTCTATGTGTCTTAACTCAGTGCTAGCACACTCTTCTGTAGTGCACCTATACATCCCGCTAGTCATATTTGTCCGAAAACGGGTTAGGAATTGTCCACCAGCATCAGTCAACTTGTCCTTCACTTTCAACAATGCCTGGCGTTGAGTAACCAATTCCCTCTCAGCGAACCTTTCTCGCCACTTTGGTGAAGCGCGATTGTACAACTCTTCCTCTAGCGTCAAAATTGAAAGGTACTGAGCTGTCCTTTGTAACTCTTGCGCGGTGTTTTTCGTGGTACACAAATTAGGACAGCTAGAGAGTTGTCGAATGGCCCCTCGAAGGTACTCGAGTGCTCCCTTATAGGCCGCGTCGTAGGCTAGTGGCCCTGGTTGCACATGTTGTAAACGAGGCGAATCGTCCTTCGACATACCGAGGTGCGCTAGAAATCAGGAACCTCTTGCTAACATAGATGAGGTGTTATATTGTGTAAAAGCGTAACGGGAAACTTAGACCGAAGAAACACTTCAAATAGTCGTCTCTAATCAATTCTCACGTGACTTGTCTGCCATGCACGATAGAACCAGCTGAGCAAATACGGAACGATATATGCAAAATGGGTCCAACGTGCAGCTGGACACATCAAAAATGTAGGTGCTTTCACTGGGTATTAAATTTCGTCAATCACATCGAATGAATCAGACTGGAAAATTGGATACTTAAGAAACCGAATGACATGTTTAGTAGCTACAACAAATAATGGTTTCTAACAATTTAAGCCAGACATTTTCAGCATTTCCTTTCAGTTCTGGATATTTCCTGATACACTCCGGATTAGCAACGTAGACGAAATTACGGCCCAAATTTATATATATATATATATATATATATATATATATGTAAACCGGCTTTAGGTAGGATTTCTTGAGTGATGAGTGTGCTCGGACATTATTCCTGTCAAATGCAAGGGAACCAAATCCATGACCCCTCGGAACCGATCCAGTATACCAGTGCATCGTTGAGCCAAATAACCTTATGAAACCAGTAAGTTCGATTCACCTAGTGGGTTTTTCTTCATACGAAGTATAAGCTGATCTTCTGAGGTGACGGACTATAGCTTCCAGATTATAAAAGACTTTACTTACGCAACACACATTGCCATCAACTGACTGGCGCATAAAATGCCATACTTGAATAATCCGCATGATGGACCGCGCTGAAGCTACATCGCTCATAATACATGCATAAAAGCAGCCCTAAAAAGAACACAACGTATGTAAAACTGGTGATGGCTTGTATGTTACTTTGTCACACAGGCACACAGCCAGTTGGAGCATGGAACTGCGGGTGAAACCAATCGAGAGAATACCCTGCATGGAAGCAAAATCCCCTAAAGACGGTTCCATGGGTGGCCGTATTACTTTACCTGGAGATCTGTCTAAAGCCGAATTTGTTATTGTTCCCGGCTTTACAATTTCTTTAATAGCTTGAACTTGCCAATTACTTCATTATTTGTTGTGGATCCATTGTATAAAGTGTGTACTCAGACCGCATAGTTGAGCTGTGCCTCGCATCGCCGAGAAATATACCATATATTTATTCATAAATGAAACGATCGATTGTTTTCAAACACCAGCTGCAAGCACGCTTCAACGCAGCTGTGTACCTAACACTGCTTCGCGAGGCAATCTTCCCAGACCAAGGTTTCCGTCGTGTCACCTTACACTTACAGAATGACCGGCAAGTCTGGGCTGAGAATGACTAAGTTGCATGTTTGTGCTCAGTCGAGCCAGGCCATCTGTCCTTATTCCGACTATGTTAGTGTGAATGCGCGTGGTACTCACTCAAGAGCTTCAACGAAGCGTCGGTCTTGGATCGTCAATTACTCTTCAACCGGAATCATGTCCCACCAAACACCTTAACCTGGCTAATCTGTCCAACACCGGATGATGTACTGAGGTGCTTTAGAATGATGGTTGCCGTGCCAGTGTTGTGGATGCATTAAGTGCATCTGAATTCCCTTCGGACTCCGCACATACATCATCCTGGTCTTCTGAAAAATTGAATCAGTGGAAGTAAGACTTCATTTTTCACTGACAGAACGTGTACTCTTCATATCACAACCCCTTCGTTGTTGGAGCAGCGTCATACCGACGGTCTACCATGACCGTCTTTCTAAATTTTGTGACAACCTTTGATTTTGTTACTCACGTTCGTTGTGTTGTTTATAACCGAATGGCATACAGGAGAACTGTCTCTATGTTGAACTCAAAATACTACTCATTAAGCTCCGTAAGAATACATGAAAAACCCTTTCTAAGCTACGATACGATGAGTCTGGTATGAACCACCCCAACAGGTGCATCCTCTTCAACTGGGACTGTTTACCTTTTTAAGAGCCAGTCTTGCGATCAGTGTAAATCAGCTGATCGAGCGCATGGTTGCTTCTCGTCAAAACAAAAATTGATGCTATTTACACCTACCATGCCTACAGAGCATCGCACATGTCAAGTGCTAGCGTTTACACCAAAGAGCTGAGATTCACCAGCTGATGTTCGTTAGCGAACCCGGTGACACCTCACTGGACCGTGCTAAACTGGAGCCTCATTCACATATTCAACAGCCGCCGACCAGCGTCCGGTTAACAAAGTAGGCAACCAAAAGCATGGCGAAGCACCACGAGATAAATGAGTGAACAGCGTTCACAGGCTGGCGCACACGGTTGCCCTGAACTGTGACCTCAGAATTGCATACTCCAGTGTTTAAAGATCCACTTTGACAACACGATAGGGAACTCGAAGCGCTTATGTATTTACTTGCCGGTTCTCACCGCTTCTATTTCAGTGTAAGTTTCATTTCATTTCAGGATTGTGATTCCGGTGTATTGCTGCCTAATAGTGTTGATTGTTTTCAGTAACTAAACCACGAACCAGTTTATAAGTCGAAATATGTATACCTAGACAAAACTGTGTGTCAACGCAATGGTTTTATGTATTCACATCAATAATAATACACAACTAACGCATTTACTATAGCCAGGACATGTGCATTCAATGCCGCAGTGATTTGCTTTTGTACGCAAAACGGCAAGAGCTATCGATAGCACAGGTTGATTCATCAAAATGTACCCTACTTCGGCTTGGGCAACCGGGTAGTATCTCACCCCCTGACGGAACCATGGACTCCGGTATGTTGTGTTGTCTTTTTATTTACTATTTCAGTACCCTGTTTGTGGTCGCATGATTTCTGGTGGCACTATGTCTATTTGTGTATGGTTATATATATATATATATATATATATATATATATATATGGCGGCATCCGATTTCGGATTTGCCTGTCACTGTGGTCAGCCACAGGATGCCTGCGCCTACAGAGGGACCATGAATGGCTTGCGCTGCACTACCCACCCCATATCCAGTGCAAACCCAAAGGAATAAGTCCGGAAGGCATGTGGATGGGAGCCACATTTCATCAACGGAGCCGGCCCACACTCCTTCACAGGCAAACACAAACACACTTTATTTGGGAATCAATCGCACATAAGGCGGTGGCTGGACCGTAGTCCGCTCCACACTGAGTGCATGGGACCGCTCTTTGAGCCTAGCACGGCCACAAGAACCGTGCACCCCATCCCTCCAGTAACGACCAACTGTCTCCTGGAGCCAGTATGGACGAGGTAGTGGGTAATAGACAGGTAGGCACCTAGTCAACATGCACATCAAGCACAGCCACACCGGGGATATCAAGCAACAGCCAATCACTTGAAACGGTGATATCAAATAAAATAACTCGGTGACACAACTCTTTACTATATAAGTGTATGAAATACATTGATTAACAACAAATTCACGAGAAGTTCAAGAGGTCAGAAAATATATTTTAAGGAAATGCCACAAACGAGAAAATGTTATCGCAAATAACTACAATTAGCTTGAGCGACGTTTGCAAGTGTATAGAAGAAGGACAAAATTGCGAACCCACCACCTACAATAAAGAGGCTCATCATGCAAGCACGCAGTTAGTAAATCGAATGCAACATACCTACAAACGCTGCGCCGGTTCTGCCTACGTTCGCTGTAGGACCCGTCGTCACTTCGGTGGTGGTCCCGAGTGTCCTCGCTCATAACTCACTAAGCCTGCCTGACTCAAACACTCGCGACCACATGTGCCACAGCACCATGCGCTCAATGTCAATGGAGCACAACCCATCGGTGCTTGCCGCTTCTGCACTTACCGTTTCTTCTCCGCATGCACGAGGGCTTTCTCCAGCACTCCGGCAACTACCTACGTGATCAGATCGCGCCATGCACGCGAATCAATCGCCTACGATACCATGACCTGCAATCAAGATCAGAACGTGAGAGGCTTACTTTGATTATATCCTGGTAACGAAGCTTCGGTTTCCCGGTATGCCGCTTCTCAATACTCAGATGATCATATAACTGTTGGTTCGGCATCCGCGTCGAATCTATACGCCTCACATGACCAAACCACCTAAAGTGTCAGAAAAACTATGCAGCCCACTGCATACATTTCACTTCGACGCAACACTTCCATGACCGCAACTCCGTCGCAACAACCGATGCGCAGGATCCCTTGCAAACACTATGGATGGAACCGCTCGAGATATCTCACATCCCACTGGTACATCGTCCAGTTTCACTACCGTATAGAAGAATGGACAGCCCCATGGATTTGTACACCATTAGCTTCGTGCCAATGGTAAGCTGATGGTTGTTCCACACGGTATTCTAGCTTCCCGAATGCCGCCGCTGCCTTCGAGACGCGGATAAGAAGATCACTATGTCACTCCTGGTCAGTCGGCACCACACTCCCAAGGTAGCAGAAGAGGGAGGTGGTTGCCAACACTACATCACCAATGCTGATTCGCGGCACCATTGTAGATTGCACCTCCGGTGAAGGCTGAAAGAGACAGACAGTTTTACTTATGTTGATGAGGAGCCCGAATTTGGCCGCTGTCGAAGCCAGAGCATTAGTCATGTGCTGCAACTCATTAGCGCTGTGTGCAAACAACGCACAGTCGTCAGCAAATAGCAACATACGGATAGTTGTCTCACAGACTAGAGTTCTCGCACCGAAAAGATGGATATTCAGCAACTCACCATCAATATGGTGCTCCACACGAACACCGTAAGCACAAACCACATCAAATACACAAGACATCATTGGGTGAACATATATATTAAACAGGGCAGGAGCTAAGACACAGCCTTGCTTCACACCAGAGACAACTGCAAAGTCATCCGAGATCCGTCCACTCAGCTACACACTCGCCCGCATACCAATGTGAAGACATTCAATTAAACAAAAATGTACTAACAAAAGCAAGCTTACCCAACACCAGCCATAGTACCTCGCGGTTCACCGTATCAAATGCTTTGGTGAAATCAACAAAAAGCGAGTGCAA